TATGTACCCACTCCGGTTGTTATTTCACGAGGTGAAGGAGTATACGTATGGGACATAGATGGAAACAAGTATTTGGACTTCGTTGCCGGGATTTCAGTGAGACCTTTCTTCTGTCGCTTCCCTTTCTGCCAATTAATCCGTTTCTGTGTCTTGTGCTGGCTTTGCTACTGCCATTTTTGCTATAGCCGCTGTTTTTGGTGCCGTCAAACACAGCAGCCAATAGACAACACAACATCAACAGTGCCTGCATGTTCATTGCACTTCAACGCACCGAAATCTTAGCAGTTTATGCTTGCATGCACACATGTGGGGGAGCGGATACGTATGCGCGTAGGTAGTTCCAAGGGCTGAGGCTCACTGGTTCAGTAGATAAGTTGATAGACAGAAGTCAGCAATTTAGTCTGTAGCTGGTGAAAGAACTGCCAAATTGTGTGCCTTCTTTGCAGAGCCTAAACCAAGGCCACTGCCACCCGCGCATAACAGAAGCTCTGATAATGCAGGCCAAGCGGCTGACTCTGACTTGTCGCGTCTTGCACAACGATTGCATGCCTGTCCTTTGCAAGTTCATAAATGACCTGCTAGGCTACGAGCGAACGTTGCTAATGAACACAGGTGTTGTTGCTACCTTTTCTCTCTCCCGATTCCAAATGTAGCGCAGCAATAAGTTTTAGCAGCCCCAAACTATCAAATGCTGTAGCTAAAAGTTTTATTATTTACTTGGACCTCGTGGCGCTGCGCACTTTCGCAGGTGCGGAGGCGGGAGAGACGGCGATAAAGGCAGCACGAAAGTGGGGCTACGAAGTGAAGGGCATCAAGGAAAACAAAGCAAAAATTGTCTTTTGCAATAACAACTACTGGGGCCGGACTATTGCTGCCGCCAGCTCCTCCACTACGCCTGACAATTATAGGCAGTACGGTAGTCACGAATAGCTGAATTTCTACGTAAATCCCGTACGGTCTCACATAATGCACCAACCTATCCAGTTTGATAAGCGGACTGCATAGCATCGAGGGCGGCCAGGCCAACTTCTGTGCGCAATTTTCCATGAAGTGGACCGACCGAAGGAACCAGAAAAATACGAATATGTTTAAAAACTGAATACAACAAGAAAGAGCAAAACACTGGCCGCGCTCTGCCGCCTATTTTTTGCGTTTGGCTGCAGCTTCGGCCCGTATACACCAGGCTTCGAGCTGATACCCTTCGATGATTTACCGGCCCTAGAAAAGGCCTTAGAGGACCCAAATGTTGCTGCGTTCTTCGTGGAGCCTATTCAGGGGGAGGGCGGCGTGATCATTCCCCAGAACGGATATCTTCGGGGTGCTGCTGAGCTATGCCGGTCTCGCAATGTGCTATTAATAGTTGATGAGATACAGGCAGGGCTCGGAAGGACTGGGCGAATGCTTGCCAGCGACTGGGAAGGAGTGAGGCCAGATGTGGTCCTTCTGGGGAAGAGTTTGACTGGGGGAACTGTGCCGTGCAGTGCTGTAGTCACAAATGCACATGTAATGAATGTATTTACACCTGGCACCCATGGCTCTACGTATGGCGGGAACCCCTTGGCTTGCGCAGTGGCATATGAGGCGTTGTCTGTACTGGTCGATGAACAACTGGCTGAGAATGCGAAAACGCAGGGGCAGTTTATGCGGAATGAATTGAGTAAGATGAAAGAAAAGTACAACTTGGAATGGATCAGAGATATCAGAGGAAGAGGGCTCTTCAATGCTGTGGAAATAAATGGGAGTAGTGGTGAAGCTATGCAGCTCTGCATAGAATTAAAAAATGAAGGAGTGTTGTGCAGGCCAACTAGAGGGAATGTGCTGCGTTTCCTGCCACCTCTGTGCATCGATGAAGCACAAATGAAAGATGCCCTCCAGCGTATTCAAAATGTTTTCTGCAGGAAAACATCTTGAAATGACAATTTATTGATTAGTATGGCACGCAAAACCTGGTTTAATAGTGTATGTCACGTTGTTCAAGCAAATGGAAATCTGGACGTCGTGGTGAAGGCGTACGGGTAAGTGCATCGTACTTACTGAGAATAAATGGTGCGACTATGGCAAAACCTGCGAAGTTGTACCTGCGAATGGTATGAATATACACTTGAAAGTACTTGATATGCTAAAATACTTGCATGCTTCATGTTAATCTCAATGCACATGTGGACAAAAGCAGGGGTCTACGGAGCGTTGTCCCCTTTATCCCTTAACTCTGCTCAATGGATTATGTTGATTTACACTTCTTGGAGGCCTAGGCTTTTGACCTAGAGCTTCAGAGAGCGCACTGTCTGGATTTCGCACGGGCCGAAGAGAGGGCCGTTGCTCTTCAGTTTTTGCATCATAACGGTAGAAAAAGGAAGAGAAACTGGGCAAACAATTCCATTTTACCGCTTTCTGTTTAGAGTTTAACTTACAAGGTTTTAAAGGTCTTTACATAACAGATCACGTAGGCAGAGAAAACGTATGCGAAAATGTATCTACGCTTTTGTAACTCCACCTAATAAAGCCAGATAAGGTCAGCTATCGCTATATAACTGAATCTAGACTTTATGGGTTATCGAAGCACAATGACTTATCTAATTAGTATGCACTGGCTAGACTGAACAAACTCACCGAACGAGGACGCGAAAGTGTTAACTGGAAGTTATAGCGTCGCCTTAGCCAGAAGCGAACTACACTAGTCCGCAGAAAGGCCAAGAACTGCACGACGCGTATTACCGGATGCGAAAACTACACCAATAGATGTTAAGAAACTAGAGATACCAGATCACCTTTAGCCAATTGGAACGGTTCGCGGAATAATGGAAATAAAATATATGTCTTTGAAAGAGGAAAGCCAATAAGGTATTCACCAATGTACAATTTGCTTCCTGCTTCAGAATAATTGAACATTTGTCTGCTCTACGCGATGTTGCACCAGAAGACGCAGTAAGCCCAGAATAATCTCAAGAACCCAATTTACTGATTTTACCTTCTTCAAAACGTACCTTACAGACCGAGTATTCTTTAAGTTAACGGAAACCACTTGAGAGATTGGTTAATCCAAGAATCTGCCGAGTTAGATGAAGCTTCTTTAGGCTACGTGCAGTAGTAAGTGCAATGAATTCATAACCATACATGGTCATCCAAAATGCTGCAGAATTATTTGAATACTTGTTGAGGATAAGGCGTTCTAATAGAAATTTATCGTTTGAATCCCTTGAGAATATGCTAAGTCAATTGACGCTGGTTCTATCCCACTGCTTCGGGCTAGACATTTTTTCAATTGTACAATATCGATTTGAAAATAGTCTTGTTCTGATCGTCTGATTCTCACAATATTTGTATTTTCGTTTTTTTGGCTTGATTCTTTAAAATGGTAGTTCATATAATTATAATTAAAACCTATCCTTTAGCGGTTTTATATGTATGGTTAAGCCCACTTTGCAGTCCATTAAAAGAACTTTTACTAGTTAAAACGGAAATCGTACGGTTGCTAAGCATTACGGAGACTGAAATACTTAGAAAGTAGTTTCTACGAAGCGTCAGTAGACTAGAACGTATGACTCTGCAGCAAGTGACAGTGTGCTCATACTTTTGTGCAAAGGCAAGCTCTTGCAACAAAACGTTAGTTTTGAATAAAATCCATCAAATGCAACACACTTACATGCGCACACAGCTTCTATGGTTCTTTCACTATGTTTATCTGGCATTAGCACCGGGATCCTGAAGCTTTTTGGCTTATCCTGGAATGCAGAGTAGAATGTTTTATGCTTTTTTGCTTGCCAGGCTCAGCGTACGGCGAACCTAACAAAACACTTTCTGAGACAATCGAGCTCCAACACTAATGGCGCTAATTATAACCCCGCAGCCATTCGGATTACAGAAAATATCTCCAGTGAGAAACCAGAATCCGGTAGAAAGCCCAAACCAGTTGGACCAAGCATAAGAGGAGAAGCGGTTATACAGAGTGTGGCAGGAAGCTTTTTGAAGTGGATAGCGACACCGTCCTGTAGATGCCGTGGTTCGTTCCAAATATTCCGTCACCGAATCATATCTTTCTTCCGTGTTGTATGTATATTTTAGCGTTCTATCACCTAACTCACCTAGCACATATGCAGACACGATATTTACAGTATGGGATGCTGGGATATCCATTAGTACGGCGTTGATTGCCCGTGCCGCTAGGAAATAAGCTATTATTTTCCAACAAACCAACAACCCACACGGCTTTAATACACCTTTAATTGTATGACTTGTTGGATAATAAGAGATTAGTGACTGAATCTTGTAAGAATTTGTGAGCTTGCATTATGTGCCACACAATGATTTAACGAACGCTCGTGAAAACTTCCAACAAGGCGTAAATCAAAACAAAACGCCAAAACTTTAGAAGTGCCTTTCTACATATCCATTATTGGTGTGTATTGTAACTTGGAATGCCTGGATGAAGTATGCCGTGAGGACGTTCAGTGGGGTTAGTAAGCTCTCAATAAAAGCTCACAAACTTCCCGACCTTTGAGCGTTTTGTTTTTCTTAATTTGCCATCTCTAAGGGCTCTAATCAGAGCTTTTAAGCAAAACAAACTTTTCATGTGGAAAGCTGTCTTCTCTTTGAAGCGCTGCCGATTTTGTGCTCATTGCAGCCCCGCGTTATGCATGCTTAATAAAAACACCGCATGCAGCAGCCGCCGGATCTATGAATTTGGCACCATCCGTGGTTTCATAATTATTTGCCTATCAAAATGCTGATTTGGGTTCGAAATCCCGAATAAGAAACCCAAGGAATATCGCAAGCCCCCCCTGTCCGCCTCCCCGAGGCTTGCACTGCCGCCTCCGAGGACGGCAGCCTTTTACTCTGTTCTGAACTTTTGCATTGGGCACAATTTTCTCAGCAGTCCCTATTTACTAAGTTACGGGCGATTCTGAGGCGGTAACGGTAGCGTCTGAACAGCGCGCAGTGGAGCCGTTGCCGGGCCCCAGAAAACTGAAGAAAGGAGGAAAAGGGAACGCGCAGGTATCACGATGGATCTCGACCAGTACGACGAGTTCGGTAACTACATCGGCCCTGAATTGGAGGGCTCAGAGGACTCGGATGACGATGAAGCCGCCATAGAGGCCGCAGCAGCTGCAGACGCTGCTGCTGCTGCTGCCGCGGCAGCCGCTGGCGCTGCAGGAGGGGGTGTCTCTGCAGCTGAAGGCGACCTGGCTCGTCGTGGCTTAGTGCGGATGGACGAAGATGACTCTCAGCAGCAGCAGCAGAAGCCCGTGCCTCACGAGTTGAAGCAGTATTACCCCACTGCCGCTGAGGTGTATCCTGAGGCTGAGACGCTAGTGCAGGAGGAGGATTTGCAGCCGATTACGGAGCCCATAATAGCTCCGACTAAGGTGTCAGACTTTGATTTGCTGGAGACACAGCTGCCCGAGACGACTTTCTCCTTCGACTACCTCGCCAGCCTCATGCACACCCCGCACTGCGTGCGCAACATATGCCTCCTGGGCAGTTTGCACTCGGGCAAGACCACTTTCGTTGACATGTTGGTGGAGGAAACGCACCCGCACCGCTTGCCCCCCGGGCTGTCGCTGCTGACGCAGCACGTGGACACCCCCCACGCGAACAAGAGGCACAAGACTTACTTCCGCAGGTACACAGACACCCGAGCCGACGAGCAGAAGAGGGGCCTCTCCATCAAGGCTGTGCCCATATCCCTCGTGCTGCAGACCTCAGCGCATTTTAGGTCACGCACCCTGAACCCCCAAACGCGCGCGGAAGCGCAGCGGCAGGAGGCAGCAGAGGCGACGGCGGAGACCGACGAGAACAACAGCAGCAACGGCAACAGCAGCAGCAACGGCAACAGCAGCAACAGCAGCAACAGCAGCAGCAGCGGGGAGGAGGCGGAGCCATATGTGCCTTTTGTGGGGCCGCGCAGCTTCCTATTTAACATTATTGACACCCCCGGCCACGTCTGCTTTTCAGACGAAGCGAGTGCTGCTATGCGTATTTGTGATGGTGCTGTTTATTTCATTGATGCACTAGAGGGACTGCCTGCTGCTGGAGCTGCGCAGCTGGCGCAGGTGCTAGAGGAAGGGTTGGGGCTCGTGGTGGTGCTCAACAAAATAGACAGACTCATTTTAGAGCTCAGGCTCAGGCCTCAAGATGCCTACTATAAAATTAAGTGCATGCTAGACGAGGTAAGGGCTTTGCAAGTCCCAAACCCTAGTCTGTGATCCATGGAATGCAAGCCCCGAACTGTTAGTGCTAAAGGGCGTACTTACACGTCAGCTGCAGCGCAGGCTGAGGGCTGAGTTGCACGCTCTAGTACTAATTCATGCCTGAAACAAATGGGCTACAACGTGTGGGGCTTACGTGTTATTAGGCAGATAAATTGAAGGCACTCCTTGTTTTTTCTGTTTTGTGTCTATCCTCTGGCTAGTGGAATGCGACTGCACTCCCTGATTTTGAAGTTTTACATGACCTTCCGGTTAACTACGGCAAGTTGCGTGACTGATTTCGTTTGTTATATTCACGTGTTGTTTTGTTGCAGTTAAATGAGACGCTGGAGACGTTGTGTTCCGTGAGGGGCCTTCCTCGTGTGGTGATATCTCCTCGCCACAGAAATTTGCTGTTTGCAATGAGTCAGTTTTCGTTTGTTTTTACTGTGGAGTCCTTCGCCGCGCTTTATTTCGATTCCTATGTATTCAACCCCACTGCAGCAGCAGTGGCAGCAAAAGAAGCAGCAGCAGCAGACAACAGCAGAAGGGATAAAGTCAGTCTCTTTGGGGGCGTACCCGTGCAGAAACTGCTCGAAGCAGAAGCGCTTCAGCAGCAGCAGGATGACAGCAACAGCAGCAACAGCCGTCGGCGGCGGCAAAAGGAATCTGAGGAAGAAACGCAAGACAGGAGCAACAACAACCCTGATGACGTGTACACTCAGCTGGAGCTCTTTGAAATTGCACTCTGGGGAGACTTCTATAGAGATCCAGAGACAAATAAGGTTGTGTCTACCCCTCCTTTCCCGGTATGTTTCAGCCGCTGCTGCTGCCGATGCTGCTGCTGCCGATGTTGCTGCTTTTGTTAGCGCTGGTACTGGAGCACCTGATGCTGGGGAGCTGCTGGCGTTCCTCCGGCTGCTGTTTCACGCGGTTCAGCAGGAGCGGAAGCTGCCCTTGCAGAAGACGGCAAAGAAATAGCAACATTTCTCGCTGCAGGGACGGAGAGCTGCAGCATGGCAGCAGCAGCGAAACAGAAGTAGCAGAAGCATGCTTTTGTACTTTGTGTCCAGGATGCACCTCGTATGTTTGTTGAGTTCATTTTGGAGCCTCTCTACAAATTGCTGGCGCACTGCGTGGCAGAAGAGAGACCGACACTGGAGCCCACACTGGCTGAGGTATTTTAGTAGCTAGTTGTTCCTCGCCGCCTATTTCTGCTTCTTCCTTCATTTCAAACTGTTCTCCGTTTTAATCCTTGCTTTTATCTCGGTCTCTTTCTTGCTCATTTATGGCTATTTGCTTTAGATTTTGCGTACTTCATTTCGCTGCTGTGCCGCCGTCAACTCTGTAAGCTTCGATCCCTTGGTATTCACTTCAGTTTCTCTGTGCTTTTGTCTCCTTGTTTGTTTTAGTTGGGTATAAAACTCAAGTCTGAAGACTATTTGCTGGATAGCAGAACGCTTTTGAAGAGAGTCCTTTCAGTGTTCTTCGGGGACTCGAGGTAATCTAAAGAGGGTTCAGGGCAAGGGTGTAGGGACTACTTCTGGGTCCTTACATCTTTTTGCTTCGAACAAGTGGTCAAAGACTGCCAATGGAATATCTTGGCTTCATACATGAATCTGACTTCCCCTTTTACTTTAGAGGACTGTGCATGCAGTTACTTGCCGTCTTCGCATATTGCTAAGGGAGTGTGTGTACCTCCTTGTATTGCCAGTGCTTCTACATTCGATGCTCTTACTTGGACTTTGGCCGCTGTTGCTACTGTTGATTTCTCAGCTCGTTCGTTGACTGCGTGGTTGAGAAGATAAAGGACCCTAAAACGAACGCCATAACTAAAGTGCAGCGGGTCTACACTGGGAGCCAGGTGCTTCTGCTGCTGCTGCCGCTGCTGTTGCTAGACCAGCCAGACAGTAGAGCTTACGGCTGAGTAACTGCACCATTTGCCTTTCTGTTAGCGCGAAGCGTTCTGCTTCCGCTTTACACAGTTGTGCTGCTTTTGGTATCACTGCTGCTGCTTCTGCTGCTACTGCCTCGGCTGCTTAGGAGGGTGAAGTGGCAACTGCAATGAAGGCTGTGGACAAGCGCAGCCCGTGCCTCATGATCTACACCACCAAAAATTACCACCGGCCTGCCAACTACGCGGCCTTTGATTTGCTGGGCAGAGTCATGAGCGGCACAGTTTACAAGGGACATAGAGTCAGGGTAGGTGCTGATTTGTGTGCATTTGCTTCGACTATTTCTCCTGCTTAATTTTCTCTTCGTTGCTACGTATTCACTGTTACCTAATATTACTGTATCAGCGTTTATACCTGATTCCTCATTATCGTGAATATCGCCGCACTTGACATTACTTTTGTTTTTCAGGTGTTGGGAGAGGCGTTTTCTCTTGATGATGATGAGGACCAATTGATAAGAGAGGTTACTCACCTGTGGATACCCATGGGCAGGTACAGAGTTGAGGTTGACTGTGTGCCAGCAGGTAATTAACAATTGAAGAGAGATACTAGTAAATAGGGTGCAAATCTATGGACAGGTTGCTCGGCAGGGATATTGATTGCTGTTTACCTGTTCTCTTGTATACCCGTTTGTTTTAGTGCCTGATTATAGTTGCATTCGGGTCGCCTCCGTTCCATATTTCGTCCAGCCTGTGCATTTCCTCGTCTTTCGTCAGCGCTCTAGTCAGCCTTTCAGTTTATTTGCGTAATTGTCTATCCTTTTTCTTCTGCACAGGCAGTTGGGTCCTTCTGGGCGGCTGCGATCTGTCTGTGAAGAAGACAGCCACCATCACTTCTCTTGACCACCAATGCGAAGTCGAGATTTTCAGGCCGCTGCAGTTCATAGCTGCCCCTGTGCTCAAAGTTGCCTGCGAGCCCCTTCAGCCCAGTGAACTTCCCAAAATGATTGAGGCGAGTTACTTTCAAGCCCTAAACCCCAGATTATAGTGTTGAAACGCGAACCCTAATTTGAAAGGTGATTGCGAGACCTGCAGTTTTGAACCATAGATGTGAAATACAAGGTTCTGGAATCTATGCGCATGTATAAGCATGGCCATTAGTTAGACGTAAACAGCTTTCCATTTTTGTTCTAATTATGCTCCGTGCAGGGTTTGAGAAGGATAGACAAGGCCTATCCGATAGCGCAGACAAAAGTGGAAGAGTCAGGTAATGCTGCGTGGCTTTCGCATAGTTTCTCTCTACGTTTCAATGCTTTTAATGAGTAAACACAGAGAGGTAAATAATGGCGCGAAGTGGTCATAAAACGGAGGTCCTGGCCCCGAACAGACACACAAGCTATGCATACGTATTGCGCACATACATTCGTATTTACGTATTTGCAATGTTTAAAATATGTGTATATGGCGAGAAAGGGACGACGCTTTATATAACCCATGCATATGCTTTTGTGTCGTTGTATGTTTACTTAGCGCTTTGGCCGTTTAGTGGACTGCTACCTTTTTTCCCTTCACTCAAGCTGAGCATGATTTTACTATTTTGTTGCTTATCTACCCACTAGCCTTCACGACCATTTTTATTGGTTGCAAACATTGATTAACGCATTTGCTCAAATTCAAAAATTCAGGCTGAGTTGCGTGTACAGGTGAACACGTAATTTGCGGCACTGGGGAGCTCTACTTGGACTGCTTGCTGCATGACCTGCGAATCTTATACGGTAATATGGAGGTGAAGGTCAGCGACCCAGTCGTCAAGTTCTGTGAAACGGTCAGTGCTGCAGATGCTGCTTCTATTGCTGTAGCTGCTGCTGGTTTCGCTGCTGCTTTTACTGCCGCTGTTCGTGGCGTTGATGCCTGTAATGGCGCCAATTGTGGTTGTGGCGGTGGTTGAGGTGGCGCTTCTGTCTAACTTCTTGTTCAACGTTTGCAAATGCCTGGAGTTGCTTGGCTGTATTTGATACTTGCCAGGTAGTGGAAACCAGCGCCCTAAAGTGCTTCGCAGAGTCGCCAAACAAGAAGAATAAGCTTTACATGATTGCCGAGCCCCTTGAGAAACGGATTGCAGATGATCTCGAGAAAGGACACATTAGCGACAAATGGGACCAGAGGTAACACAACGTAACCACCCCTGCTGCGACTCCTTGTATTGATGCTGCTGCTGTTTGTGCATTTGCTGCTGTTGCTCGTGCTGCTGCTGTTGATGTATGTGACGTGTTGCTGGCGCTTGTGGGGGAGTTGTTGCTGGTGCCACTACTGGTACTTTTGCCGTGGCTTCAATCCTTCATGTTGATGCTGTGTGAGCCGATTGGCTGTTTCTAGGACGTTTCTCCAAAGCGAAGACCTCCAAATTCTACTTTATCTGTGCTTTCTGTTTAGGACTCTGGGTGAGCATTTCTCTTCTCAGTACGGGTGGGATCTGCTGGCGGCTAGGTCTATTTGGGCATTCGGGCCCTCAGCAAGAGGTGAGAAAAGAGCAATTTCATGGGCAGAAGACATGCATAACTAAATAGTCAGGCTGCGAACTTCTGAGTCGAATTATGGACAGACTGACAATAGTTGATACTAACATGCGCACGTGCATATGCGGCACTTGTGTTTTATCGTGTAGTCTATATATGCGCATGCTTGGCTGGCCAACAAGTTGGATGGTTTGCATCTGCCTGCTCTCTGCCTATTTAAGTTTGCGTTTATCTACTTAGTCTTTCCCTTCTGAATTTATCGTCCACATGTGGACAGAGCCAATTTACACTAAGTTCATGTATAGCTGTAGACCCCAGTCTATCTGCAGGACATGTAGTTTGCGCGTAGAAGAATATCTCGTTTACGGGTCCTCAACGTTGGTACTTGTATGCTTGTTTTGGGCCATATGTGTCACCTGCGACGAAAATACTACAAGTGGATGTGAATGCGTCCGCGCACACATATCGTTGTACTATGCGCCTTGATGTTACTAGAGTACTACACTTCGATTTTCTTGTTATTTAGGGTCTTGTGTACTACTGGGAGAGGTGTTCAACGCCGAGTTCCAGCGCCTTGTTTCGCAACAGAAGGGGGCCTTGCTGCCATTTAAGGAAAGTGTTATCCAAGTAAGTAACGCAAATACGTGATGAATAGACGAAGCAACAAACTAAGCTGTTCCCTTTACTTGTGATACAGACGAATATTAGACTTAACTTGGCCAGAACCACATTTTTTCCGCTCTTTCATATCTTTCCGTGCGGCAAAATTTGGGGTTTGGGATTTATGCCGTGAACTGCACTGTGTTTGAGCTGACCACAGGGCTTCCAATGGGCGACCAGAGAGGGCCCCTTGATTGAGGAGAACGTGAAGGGCGTGCGCTTCAAGCTGGTGGATGCAGAGATAGCAAAAGATGCAGTGCACAGAGGAGGGGGCCAGATTATTCCTAGTGCGAGGTCGGTTTACCTAGCTATCAACTGTCCATTGCATTTATGGATTTACTCATTTTTTTATCATTCATGTATATCATTTGCCATGGTTCTTCTTTGTATTCATGGCGTTGCGATATCAGGCGCGTGGCCTACTCCGCTCTGCTGCTCGCCACTCCCAGGCTGCTGGAGCCAATCATGTTTTCCGAGATCCAGTGTCCAGCAGATTGCGTCTCAGCCATTTATACAGTGCTTGCACGGTTAGACATTAACAAGCTGGCAAATGCAGCATTAAGCAGCAAGGGGCAGAAACGGGCACTGTCGGCAGCATAAGTGGCAGCAGGACTTGTAGCAGCGCGCAGCAACAGCAGCAGCACCGGCTGCGGTTGCTGCTGCAAAATGTACGCAGTCCTTACTGAGGTATTCGTGCGTTGCTATCGCTTCGTGGTGCACACCTACTGTTGCCTTTTTCTAGCTCTGCTGCCACTCTTGCAGGAGGCGCGGCAATGTAGCTCGCGATATGCCCAAGCCGGGAACCCCCCTCTACATTGTGCACGCATACTTGCCAGCCATAGAATCCTTTGGCTTCGAGACAGACCTCAGGTGCGTTTCGATACTGCTGTTGCTGTCGCTGGTGTTGCTGATGCGGCTGCAACTAGCCCAGTGTACTTGGGCTTCCTCCTAACTATGTAATCTTTCATTCACTCGTTTGCCTTCGTGCTTCTCTTCGTTCTATCGGTGTACATTGCTAGACAAACCGATGAGTGCTGGACTAAAAGGACCTTTTCTTGTTCGCTGTACTTTTCAGGACACACACAAGTGGTCAGGCAATGTGCTTGACCGTCTTCGACAACTGGTCCATAGTTCCAGGGGACCCTCTGGACAAGCAGATTGTGTTCAAGCCGTTAGAGCCAGCGCCAGCTCCTCACCTTGCCAGAGAATTCCTACTCAAGACGAGGAGAAGAAAAGTGGGCTGTGGTGGTGCTGCTGCTGCTGCTGAGGCTTTGGGTGCTGCCGCTTCTCGAGCTTTGGAGCTCTGTTTGTCTGCCGCTGTGCAGTTGAAGTACTGCTGACGCTGCTGCCGACGCTGCTGCTGCTGCCGCTCGTGATGGTGTAGCTTCCGCATGTGTGACAGAGCACACTGAAGAATTTGTGTCTGGTTGCCAAGTGAACATTTGGCTCTAAGCAGATTTGCGAATTCTTGTGTCTGTAATTCGCACAATTTCAGGGTCTAAGCGAGGACGTCTCAATTCACAAATTCTTCGATGATCCCATGTTGCTCAGCATTGCCAACAATCTGCAGCAGTTCCTGTAAGCAGCAGCATCTGCGGGAAAGGACAAGCAACTTTTAGGGAGTAGTGGCGGCTCTTGTGCCAAAAGACATAAAAAAGAGCCTGCAGCAGCAAAGGCAAGTGCAGCGGGATGGCATCAGCTGCTGCTGCACATCTAGTAGCAGCAGCAGCTCGCCAGGTGGACCATGATTTGCCAGTGGAGCCACAAGAGGCCTTTTTGGTAATAAGAATAATGCGCAGTTTTATTCTTTGCATTGAGAACAGAACTGTCGTTTTCATGGCTCATCGGGAACAGTGGAGAGGCACATTTAAGGCCTAGTATAAGTTGCTCTCTGTCCGTTTCTTCCCTACCACGGCCTGAGGAAGCGCTCAGGCCCTTTTTTCTCTCTCCCTGGCGATGAACGCGGGAGTTCATCGCCAGGGGGAGAGAAAAGAAGGCAGGGATAGGGGAGTAGCAGCTGCCGTTGTAGACGTGAAAATACCAGCAAGTAGAGGTGAATGCAAGTATAGAAATATCAGCATACGTATTCTTCTATGAACATGAGCATATGCAGCAGTTAACCAGCACGTAAATGCATGCGCCTATATGCGCATAGAGGCATGCATGGTAGAGTCTATGCATTTCACCAACTAGTGCAAAGTTTAAACCGGCGAACAGGCGAGAGAAAAGAAACTGTGCCAGCTTGCAGGGGTGGGCATCAGCAGCCCTCTCGAACATGGGCTTGTAAGCATCGGAGGTGCAGAGTCCACGTAGGACTGGTGACGACTCGCTTAGGGGTTCTAAATATGTGCCCAAGACCTGGCACCTGTATTTCTTAGCTTGCTAGTGAGGTGCACTACGTTGGAAAGGAGTCCTAAAGGATGCCGGGAAATTCATTTGTGGCTAAGAGGGGCCACGGCTAGGAGTTATGTTGGGGGTCGGCATACCAGTCTTCTAATTGTTAAGCAGATACTGGACGGAGTCAGCGACACAGCTGGGTAGACGTAGACCGTAGAACGTGCACGAAGAGCCATGATGTGGCTGCTATGCGGCTAAGACAGCGCAGGCTTAGAGGCAAGGGCCGCTGGTGTTGCGGTATCTGGGTGCCCTCTTCTTAACCTACGCAGTGTTCAGAATCTGGAATTGTTGGCTTTGAGATTAACCGTATTTCGCTAAAAAGCAGCCAAAAATGGCGCGTTTAATTCGCGTGGGGGTTTTGTGGCTATAACGCCGCCGGGATATATTTCGTAGGGCCACTGAAATTTCGTTGCTTTGTTTGAGTTGCGTGAGGCTCGCCACAGCGGCGCTTGAGTGCATATAGGCTAAGAAATGGCAGTAGCATAACAGTAAAACCAAATACATGAAATTAGGCAGTGAACTGCGGGACAACTATACACACGCCCTTACTTGTGCTAGGCTAAACACTACAACGTGCACAAATATGGAGCAGCACACATATTTCTGAAGTCTCGCCCATCTGGAAGCTCCCATCCGCCTAGAAAAGGTTGGAATTTTTGAAAATAAGATTTTAAATTAGTAAGTTCGATTTACTGCTGCTCAAAACGCAGGCCTTCCGCTGTTGAAGCGGGGCGTTTTCTCATGCGTGGTCTCCGCCCGTTGAGTGTAATGCTCATGGATATTTCTTCGCGCTGATTCGGTCTTTCTGTCTACTACCTAAGTAATTTGCCCACTTCTGTTCCGAGTTGTTACAAGTATGTTATATTTGCGCATGCAAATGCCCAAAACACAGACACGACCCGCAGCCGATGGTGTTAGGGTCGGTGGGCTGTAGCACGCGGTAGCAACGGCGGCAGCGGCCGCTGCAAGAAATAGGGATATTTGTCGCCTTTTATCTGTTTTACAGCCCTGCTCTTTTTGATTATTACTCCTGGCTTCACTTCGTCCCTTGCCGTACTGCTGCGGTGCATGTACACTACAGAGACCCCAGCAGCAGGGACACTGTTCGCGGCGAGGAGCAGCAGCAGCAGCAGCTGCTACAGCTGCTGTAACGGCGGCAGCTGCTGCGGCATAAGGCTTCCACGGCGCTGCTAGTCAAGCAGCAACAGCAGCAAAAAAGAGCAGCAGCGGCAAGCTGCAGCAGCAGCAGTCCTGCACAGTACAATGATCCCAGACAGCGATGTTGCCTCCGGGCCTGGGCCTCTCTCCTGCTGACTCTCGCGGCGCTGGTAGAATCAGCAGCAGCAGCAGTAGCAGCAGCAGCAAGCACAGCGGCAAAAAGGCCCTCCTAAAGCAAAGGAGCCCCAGCCCTGGAATAGACCCGTGGGCTGTCATCCCTTCCCCCGAACCCGTGAGCAAGCAACGAAATAGCAGCAGCAGCAGGTGCAGCAGCAGTAGCAGAGCTCATGCGGCCACGGCGGCACGGCCTAGCAGGCGGAGCTGCCATGCTGTTCCCATCAGCAGCAGCAGCAGCAAACAATGGGACAACAGCAGCAAACAGTGGGACAACGGCAGCAAACAATGGGACAGAAGCAGCAAACAGTGCGACAGAAGTAGTAGCCCTCATTCATGGGGAACATACTGTGGCAGTCACAACAGGAACAGCTGGTGTGCAGGCAGCAGCAGCAGCAGCAGCAACAATGGCAACTGGGGCCTTGGCAGCGATGGCGGCTGGGGATCTGGAGTAAGCTGGCTAGAGCGCTGCAGCAGCATTGCTGCTGTGTGCCGCAACCCTGCATCAGACGAGCAGCAGCAGCAGCAACAGCAGCAGCAGGATTGGCAGCAGCCATGGAACGCAACGTGTTCATCGCAGTGGCAGCAGCAGCAGCAGCAGCAGCAGCGTACTCAGCAACGGCACAGCTGGAACCCACAAAGCTACGGGCAGCGGCACCACTTGCAGCAGCAGCAGCAGCCCAAGCAGCTGCAATCCGAAGAAGGTCAGCAGCAAAGCTTCTGGCGGCAGCAGCAGCAGGAGCGGCAGCAGCAGCCAGCGGAGCCAAAGCGGCCACAAACTGCGGAGGAGCATTTGCAGAGGTGGCAGCAAGAGCAGCAGCAGCGCGAGTGGGAACAGAAGAGTTACCAGCAGCAAACCACATGGCAGCAGCAGCAGCATGAGGAAGGGCAGGTGCGGCAGCAGCAACAAGTAGGCTGGGAACAACAGCAGCAGCCGCTACAGCAGCAACAGCAATCTCAGCAGCAGCATTGGGGGCAGCACCAGTATTCGTGGCAGCCAAATGCTGAGTGGCAGCAGCATCAGCAGCAGCACGAAAGCTTGTATGGCTGGAATGAGCAGCAGCAAGCGTCTGGCTCGCCGCTGCTGCAGCAGCAACAGCAGCACATATGCCAGCAGTCATGGCTCTATAGACAGACGCACACTGGCTGGGGAGACCAGCAGCAACGCGCTGCGTGGTCGCCGCCACAGCAGCAGCAGCAACAGCAAGTAAATCCCTCCGTCGCCACAGCTGGCAAGTCATTTCAGCTGTCACCGCATGCGCCAGCGTTTCCCCCACCGCCGCCCCAGCCACCGCAACAGCAGCAGCAGCAGCAGCAGCAGTGGGAGCTGCTGCAGCAGTCCTTTAGCCCTGCCGCAAAGCTTCCTTTTTCGGTGCAGTCGCCTGAAGAGTGCAGTGGCACTTCTTTTGGCGGGGGCGGTGTTCGTGTCAGCCGCAGTCATGCTGCTGCTGCAGCAGCTGCTGCAGGAGCCTTGCAAACTGAACAGCAGCAGCAGCAGCAGCAGCGAGAGCAGCTCGCGGAATGGCTGCTCCAGGGACGCTCTAGCGACTCTCCTCTTTCGCAGCAGCAGCAGCAGCTGCAGCATCTATGCTTGTCCTCCCCTTTGACCGATTCATCTCAGCAACCACAAGCCACTCCACAGCAGCAACAGCAGCAGCAAGGGCAGAGGCAAATCTGCCTGACACCTTATGACTTTGTCTCTTGTGTTGGCCCTCCACAAGAGCCTGCGGACTCGCCAGACCACTTCCAGCAGCTACTGCAGCAGGAAGCGGAGTCAGAAGACAAACTCTCGCAGAAGCAGCCACTGCAGCAGCAGCAGCAGCAGCGGCGGCAGCAGCAGGCGTTGCAGGTAAGCGGGCACATCCCTTCTGGCGTTTTATCGTCGACCCCGCATACAGCCCAGCGAGTGCGTGTGGCAGCTCAGTCAGCCATACAGCAGCTGCAGCAGCAACAGCAACAGCGGAAGCAGAAGTCGGAGCAGCAGCAAAGGTCTCCCCTGCCAGGTGATGGGCCTGGTAGACGTTCCTCTGCGGGATGGCTGCAGGGGCTGTTGCTGCTGCAGCAGAGCCCCGCTTCCAACAGGCACTTAAAAGCTGCAAAAGCGAATGCTGCGCCTTGTGCTGCTGCTGCAGCGCCTGCGAGTGCTGCTGCAGCAGGTGCTGCATCAGCGCGGCACTCGCCAAGCTGCGAACTGCCCGCAGCAGCTTCACCTGCAGCGAGGGCAGCAGCAGCAAAAGCGTCGACCACATGTACAGCAACACCGCGAGCAACAGCTGCTGCCTTGAGGGCAGCAGCAGCAGTGGCAGCAGCTGCGGACGCAATGAGAGCGCCTGCTGCTGCAGCTGCTACCTTTCCTAGCGCGCCTTCTGTGGCAGAAACACCGGCAAGACAAGCTACTGCAGTAGCAGCAAAGGCAGTAGTTGCTGCTTCTGCGCAGCGAGCAGCTGAAGGGATACGGAAGCCGTCCCCGGCAGCAGCAGCAGCAACGGCAGCAAAGCGAGCAGCAGCAGCAGTTGCTTCTTCAGATGCAGCACCACCAGTTACAGGAAGGCAGGCGGCAAACAGCCTCAAATCCCTGCTTCCAGCTTCCCGCGGTTGTTCACCTGCTACAGCAGCAAGGCGTGCTGCTGCAGGAGTCCGCGCCAGTGGAGTCACCGCTGCTGCTGTATTGAGTCCTGATGCTGCAGCGAGCTCTGCTGCTGCAGCGAGCTCTGCTGCTGCAGCGAGCTCTGCTGCTGCAGCGAGCTCTGCTGCTGCTGCTGCGGTTCCGGCTGCTGCAGAAAGCCTTGCCGATACATTAAGCCCTGTTGATGCACTTGGCGCTGTTGCTGCAACAGGCCGTGTTGCTGCAGCTGCGGGGAGTTCTGCTGCTGCATCGAGCAGTAGAGCTGCAGTAAGGACTGCTGCTGCAGATTCCTTTGCGGCTGCAGCAAGGACTGCGTCTGCAGCGGACTCATTGGCTGCAGCACGCTCAGCTGCTGAGGCAAATTCTGCTGCTGCCAGTTTGCTTCAACGTGGCGATGCTTCTGCTACTGTCCAGGTGACTCCACGAGATGCGCCCACAGGCTGCCGCAGCAGCACACACCACAGCAGCAAAAGCAGCGGCAGCAAAAGTAGCAGCAGCAAAGTCAGCAGCAGCAAGAGCAGCAGCAGCAAACACAAAAGTAGCAGCAGCAGCGGACTTGACACCAGCAGAGGCAGGTGCAGCACCAGCAGCAACAGGAGCAGCAGGAGCTGTAGCAACAGCAGTAGAAGCAGCAGCAGCAGCAGCAGCAGCAGTAGCTCCAGTAGCAGCAGCAGGAAACCCACGCATCGGCCATCTGTTGGGCAGAAGGACAACATAAACAGAAATAGCTGCAAGGATCCCTTATTCGAAGAGCAGAACCAAAGGGCAGCCGCATCAAAAGTAACCTCAACATCAGTCAATGCAGCAGAATGCGCTGGTGGTGGTGCTGCTGCTGCTCCAGTTGCTGGCCACGTTTCGAGCGCTACAGCTGTCCAGGCGGCCTCGGCTCAAGAATTCCACAGAGAACAAGGGACACAGAGGCAGCAAGAGCTGGGGCAAAAGCAGCAGCAGCAGCAGCAAACGCAGCAGAAACAGCAACGACGCATTGTAAAGCGGCTTGACGAGCCTGTCCGCACCGCGGAAGCGTATGAAGAGCAGCAGCAGCAGCAACAGGAGGAGCAGCAGCAGCAACGGGAAGAGCAGCACAGCCGTTCGCTTGAAGGCCGCGAGTTTCAACCGGAGCAGCTGAGGCAACAGCAGCAGCAAAGTCATCATCAGAAGCTGCAAAAGCCATCGGGACATGAGCACGTGCCCCAGCAAGGCGAGCAGCAGCAGCAGCAGCAGCAGCAGCAACAGCGTGCATCGGAGCAAGAGGCGCATCGAAAGGACGAGCTAAAGCAACAGCAACAGCAACAGAAAGAGCAGCAGCAGCAGCATCTGCCTAAATTTATGGACACAGAGCTGCCTCCGGAGCAGCAACGACAAAGTCAGTCTCAGCAAGAACTGCAACAGCAAAAACAGAAGCAGCTTCGAGAGCATTCGAATCAAGCGGCAGCAATCAGCGATGAGGCGACCACTGGATCAATCCAGGGAACAGCAGCTGTAGCAGCAACAGAGAAGCCGAGAGCAGCAGCTGAAGCAGCGGAAGCAATATCGTCACAAGCAACATCCCCAGAAGCGTCAGCAGCAAGGGCCGAGACTCCCACAGATCAGGAGATAACAGGAATCGGGGAAGTGCATCAAGCCTCAGCAGCAGCGGCAGCAGCAGCATCAGCAGCAGCAGCAGCAGTAGCAGTATTCTCTCACCCTGCGTCAGCTACGAGACCGCCACCAGATGAAGGCGCAGCACTTAGAAGTGCCGCTGGAGCAGCAAGCCCTGCAGCAGCAGCAGCCACTCCAGCAGCAACCACAGCAGCGCAAGCTGCAGCCGCCTTGCCGGCATGGGAAGCTGCAGCAGCCACTGCTGCGCCTGTTGCACAACCTAATGGCTCTCCTGCCTTATCTGCTGCTGCGCCTGCCAACGGGGAAGCCACAGGAGAAAGCGCCCTTGGGCAGAGCACAGCAGCAGCAGCTGCAGCAGCGACAGGCTCTGTGGCAGCATATGCTTCAGCAGTAGACGATGCAACAGGAGACGTTGCAGCAGTCGCAAACGCAGGAGCAGCAGCACCCGCAGCACCGGACACAACAGACGAAGGCGCAGCAGCAGCAGCCGCTGTGGCCGCAGGGGCAGATGTAAAAGCCGCAGCAGCATCGGGAGCTGCAGCAGCGGACGCGGCAGCAGCACTTGTAGCAGAGGCAACCGCACGAGCACCAGAAGCGTGTGCAACATCAGCAGACGCAGCCGCAGCGAACGCAGCGGAAGCAGGTGGGAACGTGGCAGCAGAAAGCGCAACAGCGGCAGGAGCAGCACGGGATGCACCAGCGGCAGCAGCAGATACGGCAGCAGCAGATGCGGCAGCAGCAGACATCGCAGTGGCGGAATCAGCTGCAGCCGCAGCAACTGCAGGAACAAGCACATTGGCAGCTGCAGAAGCAGCAGACGCAGCAGCGGCAAAAGCGGAAGCAACGGGAAAAGACTCAACAGCTACAGACACAGCGACAGCATACAAAGCCCCAACAGCAGCGAAGACAACCACAGCAGGTTTAGCGGGAGAAGATGCAGCAGCAGCAGGCGCAGAACCAGGAGAAGCAAATACAGCACCAGCAGAAAAGACAGTGTTGGGTGCAGCCGCAGCAGCAGCAGCAGTAGACACAGCAGCAGAGGCCGCGAGAACCGACACAGCGCCAACAACAGGCGCGACGGACTTAGCTGCAGCAGTAGGTACAGCAGCAGCTGCAGCAGCAGCAGTCCAAGACTCAGCGGCAGCAGACGGAGTGGCAACAGACACAGCAGCTGCTTGCGCTGTAGCAACATGCAAAGCCGTTGCAGAAGCAGCAGCAGCAGACCCAGCCAAACACGCAGCAGCAGCAGACACCGCAGCAGCAAGTGCACAAGGGGCACAAGTGGAAATGACAGATGGCGAGTCAGCAGCAGATGGGGCGCCAACAAGTGCAGTAGTAGCAGACGCAGCCGTGACGTATGCAGCAGCAGCAGACTCAATGGCAGAAGAAGCAGCAGGAGCAGCACACAAAGAAATAGTACAGCCAGGAGTATCTGCAGCGGGAGTTGTGCGCGCAACACCAGAAGAAATAGAAGCATCAGGGAAAGCAAAAGTAGCTTTAGAAACAGCAGCAGTTGCATTTAAATTGCCGGAGGGACAGCCGGAAGAACAGTGGCAGCAGCAGCAGCAGCAGCAACAAAGCCAAGAAGCAGCAGCAGCAGATGTGCGTGCGCTTGATGGGAAACCCGAAGCCCAGCCGCAGCAAGCGCAGCAGCAGGAACTGCAGCAACTGCAACAGCACCAACTACAGGAGCAGCGGAACGCGGAGCAGCAGCAACTGACCTCTGAGACGGAGGACCGACCTCTAGAGGGAGAACAAATGCAAGAAGTGCAGCACCAGATGCAGCAGCAGTCACTTGCCCAGCAGCAGCAGCAGCACCAGCAAGTTGCCAAGGAAGCTGCAGTAGACGTCGCTCACGAAGGATCAGCAGTGGCTGCTGACGCTGGAGCTGCAAGTGCTGGTGCTGCAGACGCTGCAGAAGAGCGCACTGAGGAAAGTGTTACTTCACAGGCCGCTGCTGCTGCTGCAGGGTTAGATGAGCAGCAACCGGAGCAGGACAAGCAGCAGCAGCAAAACAGCAGCCAGAGCGGGCGCTTCCAGTCTGCCCGCGCTCAAGCTGCTGCCTGCAGCGAGAATGAGCTGCAGCAGCAGCAGCAGCAGCAGCGCCAGGAAACGCTCGATGTTGATTCGAAAAGCAGCAGCCCCATACCAACTGAAGATGCGCCTCATGCTGCTGATCGGGAACTGCAGCAACAACGGCAGACGCAGGAGCAGGAAGCGCAGCAGCAGCAGCAGCAAGACGCTTCTGCCGCAGACCAAAAGACACCTGCAGTGCCCGCAAACGGAACACAGTCTCCAAGCAGCAGCCGCAAGAGCAGCAGCAGCAGCGGCACCAACATCAGAAGAAAGAGAAACACTAGTAGGGGCAAAGATTCTGTTGGGGCACCGAAAGAGCAACAGCAGGCTGCTGCTGCCACTGGCTCCATGGCCTCTGCTGATGCTGCCTCAGAGCCTCCGCTAAAGCGCGGCCGTTGCAGTCCGCGAAAGCGGCAGACACCTGCAGCAGCAGCAGCAGCAGAGGCAGCAGAGGCAGCGGAAGCAGCAGAAGCAGCAACAGAAGAAGCAGCAGCAGCTCCTTCCGTTGCTGTGGGAACAAATGCGCCAGCAGTGACCCTGTCAGTTCCTGCTGCTGCTACTGAAAAGCGGCCAAGGCCGCTGCAGAGCACTGGCAGCAGTGCAGGTCCGCGGCGTGAATGCTTAGGCAGCAACAGCGGCAGCAGCGGCAGCAGCGGCAGCAGCTGCAGCAGCGGCAGCAGCAGTAGCTGCAGCAGCCGCTTCTCTCGTTTTGTGGCTTCTCTAGATCGCCACCAGCGGCAGCAGCAGCAGATGCTCCAGCCGAATGCGCCTCAGCAGCAGCGACCTCAAGAACAGTCGCCGCCACGGACGCCACTGCAGCAGCAGCAGCATCAGCAGCAGAGGCAGCGGCAGCAGCGGACAGCAACCGACTCTCAAGGCAATTCTGTTCCCTGCGGGGGTCCACGGTCTTTGCGTGGCTCATCTGCTGCTGCATTCGAGGCGGGACCTTCTCCGTTTTACTCGAGTGCTGCTGCATCAGCTGCAGCAGCGGCAGCAGCAGCAAGCCAGAGCGGAACTACAGAGTCTCTGCTGCTTCGCCGCCGCGCTGCCGCTCCGTACGTAAACCCACGACCACAGCAGCAGCAGAAGCAAGCGCACAGTGATGGCCTCATGCGTGCTGCTGCTGCGCTGGAGCAGAAACTGAAGGCGCCTCGTACTGTTGGTATGAAGCAGGAGCAGCAGCCGCACCAGCAGCACCGGCTCGAGTGGTGGATGGGCGTGGGATGGCTTAAAGTCACTGACACAAGGCTTGGCCAGGGTACATTTGGCAGCGTCTTTGAAGCAGAGTGGTCCAGGGAGACACAGCAGCAGCAACTGCAGCTGCTGCAGCAACAGCCGCAAAGAAAGGAGACTCCCGATATAAAGCCGCAGCAGCAACCACAGTCTCCGACGAAGCAGAGGGGCTCTAGGCCTCGACGGTCTGCAGCCCCTCCGCTGCCGCAGTGCAGCAAAAGCAGCAACAGCAGTTGCTGCATCCCTCCTGCGGAGAGCTGCAGCAGCTGCAGCAGCTGCAGCAGCTGCCGCTCTGCGTCTGTGTCGCCTCTTGCGCTAAAAGAATACAAGACAATGTCTGCTGCTCCATTTCAGTTCCTGCGGGAGGAGGCTCTGATGAAGCACTTCAACCCCCACGTCATTCGACCCATAGCCACGCGCAGCTACCGTGAGCAGCAGCCGCAGCAGCAGCACGGGACCACACGCGTCTTTCAGCTGCTGATGCCGAGGGCCCTGGGAGACCTTCAGGTGCTGCTCAGGCGCCTTATTGTTAGGAGAGCCAAGGCCAAAGTTGTGCTGGCGTGGTATGCAGCGCAGAAGCAGCAGCAGCAGCAAAGAAAAACTCAGTCCAGTGCTGCAGCCGCAGCACCGGCTGCAGCAGCAGCCGTAGCACCGGCTGCAGCAGCAGCAGCTACAGCTGCAGGAGCTGCACCGTTGGAGGTTTCTAGCGCCGGGGCAGCCTCAGGAGATGCTTGCGCCGCTATGACCCCAACAGCGGCAACATCTACAAGCAGTACAAGCAGCAGCAGCAGCAGCAGCAGCAGCAGCAGCAGCAGCTGCAAGAGTGGGAAGGCGCTGCCTAGCATGGAATCTCTATGGCGTGCCTACGGGTCTGTAGGGCCCTGCGGCCTGACTGAATTTGAGGCCAAGTTCATTGCGGCCCAGCTGCTGCAGGGGGGGGCTTTTCTGCACTTTTGCTGCTCCGTGAGCAAACGAGCACTGAATCAGCCGCAAGATTAAATTGAAAAAGCAAAAGAAGACAGAAGCATATAAATGCACGAGCAGCAAACAATAGGGAGAGATTGTGGGGCTCTTCTTGCTGCATCAGCTGCTTCCCCCAAGCGCTTCTGCTGCCGCCACAACGGCACTGCTGCTGTTGCCGCTACAGCAGTAGTAGGTGCACAGCGGCAGTCCTGCCACTCTAGGGGTTACTTGCTGCTAGCTGCACGGCTTGTGTGTGACTCGTTTGCTCCTGCTGCTGCTGCTACTTCTGGGGTTTGCTGCTGCATTTAGGCGGAAGTGCTGCGCGTGGTGGATGTCAAGCTTTCAAATATTCTTGTCTTTGCTGCTGAAGCCGATGCAGCAAGGCCCCTTAAGTGGCTCATTTGCCTCGCGGACTTCGGCTCAGCTATTATCAACAACCCGCAGGACCACCTTCGGTCAGCAGCTACAACGCTGCTGCTGACGGTGTTCCTGCTGCTGGTGCTGCTGCAGGTGTTCACGGCGCTCGCGGCCTGCGTGCCACGGCAGCAAATGCAGTAGCTGCTACTGGTGCTAATGCTGTTGTTGCTGCTGCTGGCGGTGGCGGTTCTTGTGCCGTTCGTGACAGTTGTGTCGCTGCTGCTGCTGCTGCTGTGTTGCAGCGCATCTACGCCTTGGAAGGGGGGCCAGGAGGAAAAGCGCACTGTGTGGGAGCAGCAGGTGAGCCCACAGTCTTGCTGCTTCCAACACCAGCGGCAGCTGCAGCAGCAGCACAAACAGTATCTCTGGAGAAGCAATAGTAGCAGCAGCAGCAGCAACGACAAAGCGAAATGCCAGTTATAGGACGATGACATGGATATGCTGCACTGTGCACCGACTCATCTGCTGTTGCTGCGGCTGTCGCTGCCGTTGCTGCTGCCGCAGGTTCGGCAGCAACTGGTGTCTTTAAACCAAGGCACACTGTATTCCAACCCCCCCGAAGTGCTGCGCGTAGACGAAAGGGGCTTGCTGCGGCAGCAGCAAGACCCTGACAGGGTTTCTGGCTTTTGCAGCAAGCGCCTGCTGCTGCGTTCATCCTCTGTTGCTGCTCCTCTAAGCAGGGATCGGCCCATGGCTGCGAAAGCGGCGCATGTTTCAACAAAAGCCGAGACAGCAGCAGCAGCAGCAGCAGCTCCAGCTGCTCCTGCTGCTGCCCCTGTGGCTAACGCTCAGCCTCCATTGCCTGAAACTGCGACAGCTGCTGCTGATGCTGCTGCTGCCGCGCCCAGTAGAGCAGATAACGACTTGACTTCTCGAAAGGCCTCTTTTTTAAGCAGGGCTAGCAGCGGCAACAGCTGTAGCCGCAGCAGCAGCAGCAGCAGCAACAGTAAAGTCCGAATCCACAGTAAGAGCGCTGACGCAGAAACGCGCATGCATGCGCAGCTGTGTGACGTCTGGGGCTTTGGAATTGCTATTTGCGAGCTCGTCAAGGGAGGCGGCTGCTGCTGCCCTAGCGGCAGCAGCAGCATCAGCAGCAGCAGGTGTCCATGCCGAACAGCAGAAGGCTCTCTCCGGTTCGCAGAGGAAGAGATGAAGGCGCGCCGCATTCTCGCTGAGCTTAGGGCTTCTGAGATGCGAAAGGCAGCAGCAGCATCAGCAGCAAGAGCAGCGGCGAGAGCAGCAGCAGCAGCAAGAGCGGAAACAGCGGCAGGGAGAGACCCAGGACCTGAAGCAGCAGCAGAGGAACCTGCAGCTGCCGCACCAGAAGCAGCAGCGGATGCAGACAGAGGTGCTGCCGCTTCACCAAACGATAGTGCTGCTGCTGCTGCCGGTGCTGCTGCTGCTACCCCAGCCAAAAGGGGAAGGACGCGTGTGCCTGCTGCTGTAGATCGGCGAGCGACACGCGGCTCCTCGCAGCGTCTTGCTGTTGCTTCTGCTGCTGCTGCTTCTGCTGCTGGTGCTGCTCCTGCTTCAGCAGCTACTAGGAAGAAGAGCTTGTCTGCGAACGCTGTTGAGGCAGCTGTGAGGCCTGCTGCGTCTCTGACAAGCGCGTCCCCAGTAGCAGCAGCAGCAGCACCAGCAGCAGCAACAGCAGCTCAACGAGCTGCCACTAGGCCGAAATCAGAAGCGAAAGGCAAGGCAAGGGAACAGCGGGAAGAAGACCCCAAGGGCAGTTCAATGCCGGCAGTAGCAGCAACAGGCGCAGGCGCTGCGGGAGACTTTGCGGAAGCCGAGGACGAAATCGGTGCATGCAGTGGCAGCAGCAGCAGCAGCAGCAGGAACAGCAGCAAACTCTGTCTGCCCGCCTGCATTATGCAGTGGGTGGCAGAGAACGAGGCGATTAGCTTGTATTGGGCTGCTGTTCATGAGCTGCTGGCCCATGTCGGCTTGGGGCTGTTTCAAGTGCCACGGCAGCAGCAGCAGAAGCAGCAGCAGCGCCAGAAAGAGCAGCCGCAAGAGCAGCAGGCACTGTCGGAGCAGCAGCAGCCGCAGGGGCAGCAGCAAAAGCACCAGCAGGAACAGCGGCAGGAACAGCAGCGCCAGCCGCAGCAGCATAGGCAAGTGCAGCAGCAGCAGAAGCATGGACCTCCAACAGCTAGGAAGATTGCATCTGATGAGACGCTGCCAAGAGCACTGACTGATCTTGCTTCTTCCTCTCAGCAGCAGCAGCAGGAGCAGCAGCAGCAGCAGCAACAGCATCCGAAGGGCGAAGGGCCTGTGTGGCGGCAGCTGCGTGCTGCAAATGCTGAGCAGCAGGAGCAGCAGCTTGCTGCTCTTGAAGAAGCCTGGGCGCCTGTGTGGGGCCTGCGGGGAGGGGAAGCTGGGGTTTACGCGCAGTTTGACAGCAAATATTTAAGGCGTCTTGTCCTCAGCCTTCTTCTTGTCCGTCAGACGCACAACATGTGCTCAGGAGGGTAAGTCGCTGCTGCTGCTGCTGCTGCTGCTGCTGGAGTGCAAGAGGTGCAGGGCAAGGGCTGCTGCAAAGAGGCGCGAAAGCGCGGCACGAGAGTCGATCTGGGTGCGTTTGTTCTGCCCTGTGTCTGCTGCTGCTGCTGCAGCGCAACGGCTCGTGCGGCTGCGTTGCAGCGGCAGCAGCAACTGCAACAGCACAGCCGCTGCAGCAGCAACTTCTGGTGCCTCCTATCCCACCTCCTCGCCTTCGACCCGCAGCAGCGCCTTCTGCTTCCTGAAGCTCTCGGGCATCCCTGGTTCTACCCAGATGAGGAGGAGGAGCAGCAGCAAGAGCAGCAGCAGGAACACCCGATTTCAGGGAAAGATAGGATGGCGCAGCACGCTACTGCAGCAGCAGCAGCAGCTGTTGCAGCGGCACACGACGTCGTAAACACGGGCCCGCTCTTCGCCCCAGCTGCTGCCGAAGCTGGCCGACCCGGCAGCGGCAGCACCAAAAGCAGCAGCAGCAACAGCAGCAGCAATGTGTTTGATCTCATTGACTCTTTGCCGGGATATTTGTCTTTCCATCTTGAAGCGGAGCATGACAGCAGCAGGCCCCTGCGTCTCAGGTACAATGCACCTCCCAAAGGACCGTTGCCGCAGCAGCACCAGCATTTGCAGCAGCAGCTGCAGCAGCAGCAGCAAATAAAAAGCAGCCAAGCCGCCCCTCCCGCCAACCAACTGGCAGGAACTCCCGCTACAGCGGAAACCGCGGCAGCAGGTGCAGACCAAATGGAAGCCACACCAACAGCAGCAGCAACAAAAAAAGTCACGCCAGCAGCAGCAGCAGCCGGGCAAGGCCTTTGCGGGTTCTACGGAAGTGTGCAGCGAAGGCCTCACGCTTGGTTCTGCGGTGCACTTTTCGGCATGCAGCAGCAGGAGCTGCAGCAGCTGCAGCAGCTGCAGCAGCTCAGAGACTCGCAGCCGCAGCAGGAGCCGCAGCGGGAGTCGCGGCAGCAGCAACTGCAGGTGGAAGACAATGGCCAGCAACAAGGACAACAAAAGACTACGAATCAACAGCAACAGCAGCAGGATGGGGAGTTCTGCCACGAAAAGGAAAACCAAAAGCTGCTTGAGGTTGGTGCTTCTATTGAGTCTTCTCAGCTGCCGCCGCAGCAGCAGCCGCAGCAGCAGCCGCAGCAGGCGCTGTGTAGCCGCACTGGCAACAACAGCGGAAGCAGCTCCTCTAGCAGCAGCAGCGAGGAGGAAGACATACCCCCTTGGTCCGCCGCCCTTGTCCCTGCTTCCGTGCTGTCGGTAGCGCAGCAGGAAGCAGCAGTGCTGCAGCAGGTGGAAGGCAGCATCTACGGTGGGCGGGGTCTGCTGCTGCGGCTGCTGCTGGCCATAAAGCAGCAAAGGCAGCTGAGCTGGAGGCAGTGCTGCTCCTCTGCTGCTGCACACTACGTGGGCCGCCTGCTGCTTCGGTGGAGAGCAGTCAAGAGGAAACGCAGCAAAGCAGCAGCAGCTGCAGCCGCAGCTGCTGCTCTGAAGCAGCAGCAGCAGCGGGGGAACATGAAGGGCAGCCACAGCAGCACTGCCAGCAGGACCAGCCGGCCTAAGAGGCCTTGGGACGCAGCCGATGCCCCCAGCTGCGTTTCGCCGCTTCAGCGCAGCAGCAGCAGCAGGGCTGCACTATCTAGTGCTGCAGCAGCAGCAGAAAAGAGGCAGCGCACTGATGATGCTGCAGCAGGAACCCATCCGTCACAGTCGCCTCACTGTTAATGCTATAGCTGCTGCTGCAGCAGTTACACTTGCTGCTGCAGGAGCCGCACTGGCTTCTGCAGCAGCGGAGGCAGCAAAGCCATCCGTGTTTGTTTCCACGCCGTCAGCAACAAAGCAGCCAACTGCTGTTGCAGCAGCAGCCACACGCTGCAGTAGCAAAAGCAGCAGCTGGACTTGCCGGAGCAACAGCAGCTGCGGCAGCTGCTGCAGCCGGCCTGGCAGCAGCAAGCGCTGCGCTTGCCGCTGCAGCCCATGTGGCAGCAGCAGGTGCTTGAGCAGGCAGCTGTTTGTATCATAGGATTTGACCTTGGCTCTACGTGCTGCGCCTCTGGGCTTGCTACTTTTGCTGCTGCTGCTGCTGCTGCTGTACCCTGTGTTAGCTCTGTGGACTGGGGCTGCATGCAGGGAATGCGTGGAGCTGCTGCGTCAGCTTGTTGTCTGTGCCTTGCTGCTTTGCGCGGTTGGCGCTGCTGCTGCGTCAGCAGCAGCTGCGGCCGTTGTCTTGCAGCAGCAGCAAGTTGCTGCTTTTGCTGCACAGTTGCTGCCTTTTATCAGCTGCACTTCTGCTGTTCTGCCCTTGCAGCAGCTGTTGCTGCTCCCGTCGCGGCTGCTGCTGCGCGTTTGCTGCACCATCTGTCTGCATCAACAACGGCAGCAGCAGCAGCAGCAGCAACATTCCTGTTTACCTGCATGCGCGCTGCAGCAGGAAAATCGCAGCAGCAACAGCCCCGACAATGAAATACTTCCTTGTTGCTCTCATTTCCTCTCGTCTCCTCACTGCTGCTGTTTGGTTTCGGTGCCTTCCTGCTGCTGTGGAGGCTGCTGTTGCAGCTTCTGCTGCAGCTGCTGTTGCTGCTGCTGCTTCCTCGTGCAGTGACAAATTTGCCGCCAGCAGCGCACACAAGGACTCCGCTTGGCGGCAGGTGTGTTCTATTGCAGCAAGCTCACTGTCTGCTGCTGTCATTGCTGCTGCTTCTGTCGTTGCTGCTGTCGTTGCTGCTGTTGTTGCTGCCGTTGCTGGTCCCGGCTGCCACTCAGGTAGAATGCGTGCTTCCTGCTGCTGCTGCTGCCGTTTCTGCTGCTGCTCCTGCCCAGCAGCACCAAAGGGCCAATACCTTGCACTACTGCAACCCCAACTGCTGCTTGGAGGCGCTGCTGCTGCTGCTGCTTCTGCAGCAGCTGGCGAGTCAGCTGCAGCAGCAGGAGTGGGGTGCTCCAGGGTTCCTGGGGTGCTGCTGCCCAACGTGTGGGGCGTACATGTCCCCTGCTCATGGTCCTGCTGCTGCTGAATCAGCAACTGCTGCTGCTGCTGCCCTGTGTCGGAAGGAGAGGCAATGCCCCAGGCCGCCTGCAGTAAAGAGCGGCCACCCATTAGGGACGCTTGCTGCTGCTGCTGCTGCTGGCGTTGCTGCTTTTGCTGCTGCAGCATGAAGATACTCAGCGGCAGGGACGCAGTGTTGAAAGAGAGCAGCAACTGGTGCATGCGCTCCCTCAGGCGAGTGGCCACTGCTGCATTGTAGCTGCTGCTGCTGCTGCAGTTGCTGCTACGGGCTTCCTGCTTCGCCTCCTGATGCTGCTGCTGCAGCTGCAGCAGCAGAGACCTTGCAGCAGCAGGAGGGAAGGCCGCAGCTGTAACTGCGGTGTACAGCCACCTGCCACCATATTCGGAGTGTTCAAAAGCAACGCTGTTGTTGTTGTTGTTGTTGCTGCTGCTGCTGCTGCTGCGGAGAGTGGGCCGCAGGATAGAAAGGCGCCAGGCTCCTCCGTAGGGCCAGTGATCAATGAGCTCTGCAGTTCCCGATTCCTGTAGCAGCAGCTGCAGCAGCACGCCATAAGCGGTAACAGCACATCAAAGAGCAGCAGCAGCAGCACATGAAATAGCGGCAGCAGGAGGCAGCTGCGGTAGCAATACTAGGTCGCAGCACCACATGCAGCAGCAGCGACGACAATCTTCTGCGTCGCCAGCAGCACGTACCCGCTGAAGAGCTCTTGCTGCAGCAACAGCAGCACTGTCTGCCGCAGCAGCAGCTGCCGTTGCAGCTTCTGATAGCTCAGGAGCAGCAGCACGCAGCCACACCCAAGGGCCACAGGGGTCCTCTAGAAAAATGATAGAGACATACACAGCTGCTGCAGTGCCCATTACTTCCATAGGTTTTGGACTTTAGGGCTTAGGGGTTCTGGCCAGTGGGCTCCCCATGATGCCGCGGGAGAGCGGCAGCAGCAGCAGCTGCTGCAGCTGCAGCAGAAGCATGTATGTCTTCGATGGTTCGTCCTCCTGTTTCCCTATTTCCTTCTTTCTTTTCGTCTACTAGAGCTGAGTTTCACTTGGAAAACTATCTCACAGCGGCTCCTTTTTTCTTTCACAGCGTTACTGCTTCAGGCGCTGCACAAAATTTCAAGGGCCCCCCAGGGGCCCCTGGGGGCCCCCGGGAGCGTCTGGGGCTTCCTGGGGGCCCCCACAAGGCCACGTGGGCTCAATATAGACCTGACGAGGCCTTTGGCTCATTAAGTTGAGCAGCTACCAAACATAATCTAAAGTACCAACACGGGAAACTGTATGCATGGGCCCCCCCTTGCTGCTGCTGCTGCCCTCACACAAGAGCAACTGTTCCGAAAGCAGCAACAGCAGCAGCGCCACAGACTAAACCGCTTCAACTCGAAGCAAAAGGCCGCCTGCGCCTGCACAGAGCAGCAGCACTAACGGCGGGCAGCAACGACTTGCTTCCGCTTCCGCCGCAGCACATCGAAAAGCTGGGGAGCCATCATGTGCAGCAGCAGCAGCAGCAGCAGCATCAGAACTAGCAGCAGAGGCGCCATTAGGCCTATTCTGTGAAGGGTCTGCAAAGGCACCTTCACTCTGGTACGAGCAAGATGGCTCGGAAACAGCAGCAGCAGCAGCAACAGCAGCAGCAGCAGCGGGGTCCCCAGCAGCAACAGCAGCTGGAGACCATTGGCCGCAGCAGAGCACAGCAGAAGAAATTTGTCCAGTTTAAGGCATCTCTTTTCTCGCCCTATATTGCGCCCTGGTGTGCTGCTGCTGCTGCTGCTGCTGTTTCGCTGCTGTTGCTGCTGCAGCTGCTGTCTTAATCCGCAGTTGTTGCAGTGGGAATTAATTGTTTGCCGCCGCATCCAGTCCCGCAGGCGGCTCAAGCTGCAGCAGATTTGAGAGCAGCAGGACCTGGCCACTAAGCATGTTCTGTTGCTGCTGCTGCTGCTGCTGCTGCTGCTGCTGCTCTTTTTCTGCAGGCCGCGGGCCCTAGAGAGCGCTGAAGAAGAAGTGGTGGCTCTGCTGGAGGGGTAGGGCGTTTGTCTGTTTGCTTCCGTCTTTGTGATTTATTGCATCACCTTTTTCTGCTTTTGCTGCTTCGAGCTGCATGAGTCTTTATTTCTCTCTGCAGGGTCTTTGATTTTGCTGCTGCTGTTGCTGTTGCTGCGTTGCGGCAGCGGCTGCTAGTCATGTAGCCGCTGCAACCATCGTGCTTCTGCTGCTGCTGCAGGCTTTGCAATGCTGCAGCAGCAGCAGGCATAAGGCTGAGAGCAGCAGCAGCTATTGGGTTCAACGCATGTGCTGCTCTTTTAGAGCAGCAAGCTGCTGCTGCAGCACGAGCAGCAGCAGTAGCACCAGGACTTGCTGCTGCGCAAGCAGCAGCTCCTACTGCCCAGCAACAGGACGAGAAAGCAGAAGCAACAAGCGAAGCAGCAGCAGCTGCAGCAGCTTGCGACACAAGGCCAGCAGCCACTGCAGCAGCAGTAGCGGCAGCTGCAGCAGGAGCAGCAGCAGAGGCACCCGCTGCAGCAGCTGCAACATGCAACATTGCTGCTCTGATCTGTGTTTGCTGTTCACCGGCTGATGGAGGCCTCAGAGGCTTTGGAGTGCAGCAGCTGCTGCTGCTGGCGTCTATGTTGAACATACCCGCGGTTGTAATTCGCAGCAAGCTGTGCGTCTGCTGCTGCTGCTGCTGCTGCTGCTGCTGCTGCTGGCTTTCATGTCGCGGTTGCCTACACGGGTGCTGCCCTTGCTGTCGCTGCAGTTGCTGATACGGGCGCTCCCCTTGCTGCTGCTGTTGCTGCTGCTGCTGCTATTGCTGCTGCTGCTGCTATTGCTGCTGCTTTTTTCTTACATTGGCGGCTTTGGCCTTGTCCGGTGTTTGTACAGCTGCAGACAAAGAATTGCTGCTGCTGTTGGCCTGCCCACGACTTTAGCTATTGGAGTGTACGACCAGGTGCGACCCAAATGTTGCTGCAACAGCAGCAGCAGCAGCAGCAGCAGCAGCACGAGCTCCCAGCCGCAACCGGCAGCCGCAGACGACTCCGCGGCCGGTGCCGCAGCAGCTGCTGCTCCTGCTCCTACAAACAGCAGCAGCGAAGCTTCTGCTGAGGAGCAGCACGCAGTCAGGAAGCAGCAGCAGGCATTAATCTGTGCAATATCTAGCCATGGACCTCCGCAGCAGCTACCGTTCATGCTGCTGCAGCGTGGCCAGCAGCAGCAGCAGCAGCAGCAAGAGCAGCAGCAAGTGCTGCAGCTGCTGTCGCCGCGAGTGCTAGCATTTGCTGCTACTTATCGGCCCAAGGAAAGCAAAGTTGGAACGAATCGGAAGCAGCGCAGGGCCGCCAGGAGAAACAGACGCAAACTACAGCGACAGCAGCAGCAGGCTGTAGCAGCAGCAGCTGCTGCTCCTGCTGCACCTGCTGTTGCACCTGCTGCATCTGCTGCTGCAGCACCTGCTCCTACCGCTGCTGCTTCTGGAGCATCTGCTGCTGTTACAGAAGCTACACCATCCGGTGCCGAAAAGCCTGATGCTGCAACACACGATGCCACCGCTGCTGCTGTTGCGGATGCAGTTGTTTCTACTGCTTCTGGAGCAGCTGATTCTGCTGCTGCTGCTGCTGGTTCGGCGCCCGCTGCTGCACCTACTGGTGGCACTTCAATGCCTGCTGCTGCACCTGCTGCTGCTATTTCAGCACCTGCAGCTAGCGCTGCAGCACCCGCTCCTGCGGAGCAGCAGCTTTGCTGCAGCGCTACTTCTGGCAGCTCCTAAGGCTGCAGTGTTAGTCATAAATGCAGTTCTTGCTGCGCCGGCTTTGGTGCACGGCAGCAGCAGCAGCAGTAGCAGAAAAGTCTTATGTGCAGAGTTTGTCAAACAACTCTTAAAACGAACAATTTGTGCTGCCCATGAGGACAGACCCGCCCCCATTTTGTGTTGCTATCACTGTATTTGCTGCTGTTGCTGCTGCTGCTGCAGCGTTAGAAGCGGTCGAAGCTGAGCTTGGGGTCTACGGGAGGCTTGCGGCCTCTGCCGCGACCCCTGCGGCCCCTCCCTCTGAAATTGCCTCCTCTGCGTCTTGCGACGTTGCCTAACCTGCATGTACACCCCACGCTGCATGTACACCCCACGCTGCATGTACACCCCACGCTGTATGTACACCCCACGCTGTTTGTACACTCAGGCTGCTTGTACACCCCTAGCTGCACGTACACCCTAAGCTGCATGTACACCCCAGTGCGTGCAACGGTTGGCCAGGCATCCCAGCCCGCAGTGGCATCTAGCTAGCGGCGAGGATTTATGCTATATGAAGTGGCTAGTAGGAGCAATCGCCAGCTAGCTGGCTAGCTAGCAGGATGGAAAGACAGCCGGATATGTGCGCTGCTGCTGACCTGCTCGACACGAATTCGTTCAGCACAGGGTCGCACACCACACAGCCTTTGCGCTCGGTAGAGCCGTCCTGAAGCAGCAGCAGCAGCAGCAACAGTAGGAAACTGTCCCACAAACTTAACAGTCCTGCCTGAGGAGCGGGGGAAGCAGCAGGATGCAGAAGCAGCAGCAGCTAAGGCAGCAGCAGCTCAGGCAGCAGCAACAGTACCTTGAGAGGGTTGGACTTTGAGAAGGTGACGTCCAGCAGCATGCTGCCGCATTCGGCGCATTCTTCATCCGTTACTGCAACTTCTGTGGGTCAGTGCAAGCAGCAGCAACAGCAACAACAGCAGCAGGAGTTTATATGCCTTAGTTACATCAAGAAGCAGCTTTTTGTGGATCGAAACGCATTCCCACGCTAGGAAAGCTGCAGCTGCTGCACCCACTGTCAACTGCTGCTGCTGCTGCTGCTGCTGCTGCTGCTGCGGCTCACTAAATGCGCCTTCAAATAAAAGGAGCTCAAACCTGCAGACCGTGCAGTCGAGGCGCCAGCGAGGCTGCAAGCAACAGATGGCAGCAGCAGCAACAGCAGCATGGCAAGCGACAGCCGCTGCAGCAGCAGCGGCAGAAACTCCGCAGCGGGAGTCCCTCTTATTTTTCTGCTGCTAGTTTGCCTTCAGCAAATTGCAGCGGCTGCTGACACTTGCTGCTGCCCCTTGGGGCCTGGCGTCGAAGGCGCGCAGAAGCAGTGCAGCAAATGCAAAATAAAGATAATGAAGCAGCGCAGCAAATGGAAAATAACACAAAGATTCAGAAGCAGCTGGAGAGGGAAGGAGGCATAGAGGGCAGCAGCTAAGTGAGACAAATGAGACAAAAAGGGTGCTGGAGAAACAGAAGCAAAAGAGAAGACAGCAACGGGAAAAGAAACAATAAGCAGCAAGCGAGAGAGGGGCCAAGGCGAGAAACAAAGGCAACTGCAGCAGCTGGAGGGCAGCTGCAGCAGCTGGAGGGCAGCTGCAGCAGCTGGAGTGAAGGTGCAGCCGCTGGAGCACAGCTGCAGCAGCTGTACTCCAGCTGCAGCTGCTGGAGTACAGCTGCAGCAGCTAGAGTCAGCAGCAATGGAGGAAGCAGCAGCGCGCATGCGGAGAGAAAAAGAGACGAACAAATAAAGAAATGGAGGGAAAAAAGAAAAAGAAGCAGCAAAAATAACTCAAGGGAAGACACTCGTGGCTGCAGCAGCTGACCTGCGACACCGGGTTGAGGTAAAGCAGGCCGTCGCCTGCGGGCGCAGCAGCACAAGAGAAGCAGCAAAAGAGGAAGCAAAAGTGCATGCAAAGGAATTGGACAAAATGGAAGCAAAAAGATAAACGCAAAAACATAAAAATCAAATGAGACTTACAGTGCTCTTGAGGACAGCGCATAACTCCCACAGCATTTATTGAATGGCGACAAGAAGGGTGCTGGCAGTCCACGCAGGTCATGACTTCTGCGCAGCGCAGACGCACAAACACGAGCTCCTGCTGTTTTTGCTGCTGCTGCGGTTGCTGCTGCTGCTGCTTTTCCTGGTGCTGATACTGCTGGCGCCGGTGCTGATGCTGCTGCAGCTGGCGCTGCTGCTGATGCGGCTGCTGCTATTGCTGATGCTGAGGCTGGTGCTGCTGCTGCTCCTGCTCCCGCTGTTGTTGTTTTTAGCTTCGACTGCTGCCCTATCTGGTTGTCACTGCTGCTGCTTCTGCCCTTGCGAGCTGCCCGCGCTGCAACCTTTGCTGCAGCTTGTTGCTGCTGTGATTTCGTTCATTAGCAATACATGGAGAAAATATGGCAAGCAAGACGAAAGAGAGGGCTCAGGCGAGAAAGCAAGAATGCAGTAAACAGAGAAACTGGAACAACTTGATAAAGATGCATGCATAAAGACAAGAAAGTTTTACAAAGAAGGGCCAGCAGGCACAAAATGCGGCAAAAGAAAGACTCTGCCGCAGCAAGTGATAAGCAGCACAAAAAGACAGAAGCAAAAGCAGCAGGGGACACGGAGAGAACAAGACAGACGGAGACAGAAAGACTGGAAGAAGGAGACACAAAGGCAGCAGCAAATGAATCCAACAAACTGCAGCAGTAGCAGCAACAGCAGCAGCAAGTCTCACTCGCTCCCTCAGTGTCAAAGGGTGGGTCGTTGTAGCAGAGAGGACAAAAGGGAAAAGCCTTGCCCCCCGTGTTGACAGAAAGCAGCAGCTCGTAGCCGTCCAGCGGACACTTCAGCTCCTTGTAAAGCTGCAACAGACACAGCAGCAGCAGCAGCAGCAGTAGTCGGCAAGAGCCACCAGCACCTGCAGCGTGTCCACCCGCAAGAACAGCAGCAGCCGCATCACGAGCAGCAGCAGCAGAAAGAGCAGAAACAGCACACGCATCGACAGCAGCAACAACAGAAGCAGCAGCAAGAGCAGCAAAAGCAGCTGCAGCAGCAAGAGCAGCGATCACAAGGGCAGCAGCAGCAGCAGCCGAAGCAGCAGCAACAGCAGCTGAAAGGACCTTGATGGTGCCTGTCTGCGGGACGTCGAGAGTGAGGTCGCAAGTGCGGCAGTGCAGACGCGAGGGTCTCCGGGCGATGAAGTTCATGTAGCGGTTGCAGCGCCCGCAGCGGGACAGCGGGTTGCCTGCGAGCAGGCGCAGCCCCACAGTTGCCCCAGCTAGCTGCAGCTGCGCCAGCTAGCTGCAGCTGCATCTGCTAGCTGCAACTGCGCAGGGTAGCCGCAGCTGCGTCAGCTAGCTGTAGCTGCGCCAGCTAGCTGCAGCTGCGCCAGCTAGCTGCAGCTGCGCCGGCTAGCTGCAGCTGCGCCAGCTAGCTGCAGCTGCGCCAGCTAGCTGCAGCTGCGAAAGCTAGCTGCAGCTGAGTCAGACAGCTGCAGCTGCCTCAGCTGCAAGCCTGCGCGCCGCGGCCGGCGAGCAGGCTTGCAGCTCAGCTAGCTACTTGGCTTCCTGGCTAGCTGGCGGTGCAGCTAGCCATCTCGCCCGCTACTTAGCCGCCATAGCGACGCAATCCTATCGCGGCTGGACATGTTCCTAGCTACATAAAAGCAAAGGTGCAGATATCTCGCCAGCTAGCCAACTAGCTAGCCAGCTAGCTAGCCAGCTAGCTAGCCAGCTAGCTAGAAGCTAGCTTGCTACTTGTGCAGTTAACCATGCAAATATCGCACCAAGACCCAATAGGCCTTCCGAGCAAGAGGGACAGAAGCAGAAGAGGGGGAAATTAATCCCCCATGATTTGGAAGAGAAACAGAGGCGAGAAGGCAAAAGGAGGCGAAAGAAAAGAAAGAAAGCAGCAGCGAAAAAGCACCTGTGGCCGACAAAGCGGTGAAGGTGACGTCGAATAAAGCGTCCATTCTCTCAACCTGCATAGACACCCGCGCAGCAATCGGAAGCAGCAGCAAAATGAGCAGCTGTTGCGCAGCAGCGGCAGCCTGGGTGCAGCAACAGTGTGCAGCAGCAGCGGGCAGCAGCAAGCAACAGCAGGTAGCAGCGGGCAGCAGAGGCGGGAATGGCAGGCGCAAAGGGACAAAAGAAGCAGCAAAAGGCACAGAAGAAGCAAAAAAACATTCGCTGAGACACACGGAGACAGCCGCAACAAAAAAGAGCCCAGCGCAGGGAGGGGCAAAGACAAGATAATATTGAGAGGCCCTAGCAGCAGCAGGCCCACATATGCATATACATTTATAAATAAATACATATATACTATATAACGTATACATTAGATATATTGTATAATACGTATTATATACAATAGTATATATACATATATTTGCATTTGTATGGAAATGTATGGCACGCAGAATCACACACATAAAGCGAGGCCCGCGAACAGCCAATGAAATATAAAAAGCGCCAAATGCTGCTCCCAAAGCTCAGCAGTCTTCTCGGGCCAAAAAAGGTAAAAGGCCGCAGGCAGCAGCCGCTTTGCTGCTGCTTACTTTGTTGACAAAGTAGCAAAATTTGGCCTTAAATATCTTCAGCGAGTGCTGCACCACCGCCTCCCTGGGGGCCTTTCCTGGCAGCAAAGAAACAACGCACCAGGCAAAGAAGGCCCACAGATTCGAAGCATCAGAAAGACAAAAGAAAAGAAATGAAAAAGAAACAAAGAGCCCCCCAGAGCCCCTAAGACACAGTGCAGCGGGAACCGGGTGTACAGACAGCAGCAACGGCGCACGCGAAGACAGCAAAAGCAGGAAAATGCGCAGAGGAAAAGACACAAAGAAGTTTTTGAGAGATATAAAAGAGTTGGGAAGAGCAAACAGACAAACAACACATTCAATAGAGCGCCTCTGCTCTCCCTGGGGCCCCACAAAGCTCCCCAGGCCTTCAAACTCAAGCCCCAGAAAGGGGAATTAGAGCGCAAGCAACGGGGCTTCAGAGGGTAGAGAGCACTCCACGTCGCCAGAAATGCCCGGCGCAGAGCCCCAACGGGGTCTAGGGTTTAGGGTTTAGGGTTTACCCTTGGCAATGACGTCGACCAGCTGCTCTATGGAGGCGCGCACGAAGGGAAGAACCAACTCCGCGTCAATTGCCATGAGGCCGTGGACGAGGCAAATGCCCAGCTTCGTGGGCTCTAGGCGGCGGCCAGAAACCTGCACGCCAAGGTCCAAACCCTAAACCCTAAACCCTAAACCCTTAACCCTAAACCCTGAGCTATAAGGGAGCCCAACGCAGACTCAAAGCAGCGGGAATGCAGCAACAGCAACGAAAGACGGGAGGCAGCAAAAGCCACAGAGACAGGACGCGCCTAGGCCAACGGCCGCAACAGCTGCAGCAAGAAGCAGCCCCTGAAAGAGCTAATAAAGCTAAATCAATGCAAAGTGGCAGCAGAAAAAAACAAAAAGAAGTTAGAGAAAATGGCAGAGGCGCAGCAGGCGACAGCCGGCGCATGTACACGTAGAAACACACAGGCGGGGATATACTGTTAAGAAGTCCACAAAGTTGCAGCTAGAGAGACGAATACATTATTATTATTATTATTATTATTATTATTACTACTACTACTACTACTATTATCATTATTATTATCATTATTATTATTCTCATGCTTATTATTATTGGTATCATTAATTATATTATCATGAATATATATATATATATACATAGGCAAGGGGCGGCCTCACAAGCGTAACATAGTTTCTTTCGCAAATGTTGTTAATGTGCGTCGCCATGGAGGCGTCTGTGCCGATGCGGTGACGCTCTAGAAGCCCCAGCAAATCCGACTCGGACAAATATGGGGGCGGGGAAGTCAGCCGCTCCTGAGAAGCCCATATATATACATGTACATATATATAAATATATATATGTATATATATATATAAACCTGCACTGAGGCGCAGCAGAGCGCAACAAGGCGCAGCAGAGCGCAGCAAACAGCAGAAGGGCGCAGCAAAGCTCAACAAGGTGCAGCAAATCGCAGCAAGGCGCAGGAGAAAGCAGCAGCTGGCTGACCACGATGGAGACGCTCTGGAGCGGGACTTTGTCACCAGAGTTGAGGGGAGGGAGCCTGGTGTCTCGGATTTCCGTTTGTCTCAAGACAGTGGTGAAGCCGGGGTCGAGGCAAACTTTGGCGCTGGCGGTGAAGGCCTCGCCGTGGACTTGGAAGCAAATGGTGGTCTTCTTGAACTTGCAGTTCCCAGCCACTGAGGCCAAGAAGCTGCGACACACCAGCTCGTAAACAGCCCACGCGTCGCCGCCCCCCACTTCGCCTTCTGTCGCGCTCCTCACTGGAGTTATCGGCGGGTGGTCTCCCGCGTCCGTCCCCGCCCGCGGCTTCGCCAGGCCCCGCTGCAGCACCCAGCAGCAGCAGCAGCAGCAGCAGCAGCAGCAGCAGCAGCAGCGGCAGCAGCGCACTCGCAGTCGACTGGGGATGCAGCGGCAAGTAGAGGAAGGCAAAGTGATGCAAAACGCGTGGCAGATCCTAAGGGGGAGAGCAGGCAGGCGCCCGCAACCGCCACGGGAAGCAGCAGCAGCAGCAGCAGTCGCTGCAGCAAAATAAACTGACTTGCAGGATCTGCTGGGCGTCGGTTCCCCAGTAGGGATTTGCTGCTTGCATGGCCACTGTGCCCTTGAGGTCGAAAGAGGGAGGGTAAGTGCATGTCTCTGTGCGAGGATAAGTTATGAAGCCCCCAAGATACAGACGCTCCGCCACCTAAGCAGCAGCAGCAGCAGCCAGCAGTGGACATATTTGAGGCACAACTCCCAAGAGCCGCAACAAGACCAACAGCAGCTGCCTAGCAGCAGCTGCTGCCAACGAACCGGGGCCATGCAGGACCGCAGCAGCAGCAATCGCACCGCCAGCAGCAGAACTAAGCGGAGCTACAGGAGCCGCATTGCCCCCAAATAAAAGCATAAAGGCCGCTCTCAGCATATGAAGCACGAGCAATAGTTACAGTAGCAGCAGCTGCAGCAGCAGGAGCCGCAGCAGCAGCGGCTGCAGCAGCTGTAGCAGCTGCAACTGAAGGAGCAGCAGCTGCAGCAGCGGGAGCAGCAGCAGACCTGCATCGCGTGCTGGGGCCCCAGTCCCAGGCGCTGGCTGGCGGCCTTAAGCAGCGCCACAGTGTTGAGGGCCTGAGGCATCGGAAGGACTTCTTCAGTTTGTTTGGTGGTGCTGACGACGGCAAAGGTGGCGGACTGCACCTGTACGTACACCGCAGAGGCGCAGCAACAGCAAAGGTGAACCCCGCATGCACTCCAGATTTGCCCCTCAGTTTGCTGCTGTGGCTGCTCGCTTGCCACAAAACATCTGCTGCATCTCTAGGCCTCGCGGTGCTGCTGCGCTGCTGTGATGCTGCGCTGCTGCGCTGCTGCGCTGTCGATCTGCTGCTTCTCTTGCTTCCGCTGCTGCTGCCTCTTGTGGCCGTATCGGGCAGTCCTTCAGCTAGGATGTACATACACCTCAGCACAAGCGGCCTTACTATGGAGCGAAACATCTGGGCCACCACGCGGTCAAAAACTTGACCTCTGGCCCAATCTAGTGTTAATTCCTGCTCCCCCACTCGCACAATTGGCTGAATCTGCAAGCAGCAGCAGCAACAGCAGCAGCAGCAGAGCAGCAGTAGCAGCTTTGCAGTAGCTCCAGCAGCAGCAGCAGCACTAGCAACAGCAGCTTTGCAGTAACTGTAGCAGCAGCGGCAGCATGACGGGATGCTACCGAAGAGAACAACCATGGCAACACAGCGCAGTGAAAGCTCGAAGCATGCACTGAGAGGCAAAGCCCCAAACCCTAGACCCTAAGTCCTAACCTCTAGACTTTAAACCCTAAACCCTAAATCCTAAGCCCTGCAATGGGGGGAAGCGGAGGCAGTTAGCCAAGTTGAACTCCACAAAGACAAGGCTGAGCCCTTTAAAAAGGCAGCCAGCCTTTTAAGGCTGAGTTGAATTGCAAGAATTGGATGAAATGAATTAACTCAAGTAAATTAAATGAAATCAACTATATAAAATAAACAATGTGAGGTGAATTCAATGAAATAAACGCTACCTGGTAATACTCCTCCGGCCTAAAGGCCTGGATGGTGTCGCTGCGGTGTACGCACAGCTGCAGCGTCGGCGTCTGGCAGGGCCCGTAAGATATTAAAGAAGAGTCCAGGTCTCCGTACTTGCCCTGGAGTGCAGCCAGCAGCAGCAGCAGCAGCAGCAGCAGCAGCAGCAGCAGCAGCAGCAAACAAGGCACTAAGCAGAAAAAGATTTGGGGAGAGCAGCCACGAGGAGCAGCAAATGATGGCAAAGGCAGAGGCTGGACAACAAACAGGAGCGGGACTAAGCGGCAGAAAAGCGACATGAAGAGACTGGAGGGCAGACGAAAGAGCAGCAGCAGCAGCAGCTACTGCTGCTGCAGCTGCTGCTGCAGCTGCTGCTGCAGCTGCTGCTGCAGCTGCTGCTGCAGCTGCTGCTCCTGCTGCTGCTGCTGCTGCTGCTCCTGCTGCTGCTGCTGCTGCTGCGCTGCCTCACCTGGAAGTACTGCGTCTGGAAGCGGGTGAAGGCGACGCCGATCTTCAAGTCCAGCTCTTGCCGCGCGTCCACAGCGTCGCTCTCGTCCTTATTGGGAGAGCCCAGCTGTTTCATGGCCCTGCGAGCGGCCAAAAAGCAGCAGCGAAGGGCCCAGAAGATTGTTGCAGCAGCAGCAGCAGCAGCAGCAGAGACAGGCTGTGGGGCAGCAATTGAGTTTTAGGGGCAGTCAGCAGCCAGCAAGTCTCAAGAATAGTCAAGCGAGACGAAAGACAAAGTCAGAAAAGTAAGAAATGTAAAAAAATTGGCGGAGCAGCACGAAAAGGCACAGAGCTGCTGCTGCAGCAGAAATGGCCCCCAAGGGCATAGCAGGTGCCTCTTTGCTGCAGCATTTCAGAAGCAGATATTCCTAGCAGTTGCCTAATATTGCTGATTGGAAAGCAACATGTTACTTCGTGTTTGTGGAAGCAGCTTACTTCTGGATATCTGTAGGAGCTAAAGCGGAGAAGTGAGCGCGCCATATTTGCTGCTGCAGCAGTAGCAGAAGCAGCAACAGCAGCACAAGCCTCAGCTTACAAACAGGCGCAGCTCCGCCAGCAAAAGACGCAGCGCAGCAGCTGCCCTAGTATAAGCAGCAGCAGCAGCGTCCGCAGCGGCAGCAGCAGGAGGACCGGCAGCGGCGGGAAGGCTTGCGTTCAGCAGCAGCAGCAGCAGCGGCAGAAAACGAAGGCGCAACAGCAACATTAGAAACCGCAGCAGCAGCCTGATCTGCCGTTTCACTATCGGCGCTACCCTCCTCATCATTAGGAACACCATAGCCGTCAGTATAAGCAGCAAAAGCAGCAGCAGCAGCAGCAGCAGCAGCGCCAGAGCGTCCGAAGGAGCAGCAGCACCCCAGCCAGCAACAGCAGCACACTACATGCAGCCGAAGCCACAACCACAGCGCCCAGCAAGCAGCAGCAGCAGCTCAACCAGACCCCGCAGCAGCAGCGCAAGCAGCAGCAGCAGCAGCAGCAGCAGCAGCAGCAGCAGCAGCAGCAGCAGCAGCAGCAGC